TAGAGCTCTGTGTAAGCTTGAAAGCTTGTCTCTCTCACCAACATAAGTCGGTTCAATAAAAGATATTACCTCACCCACCTTGTCTCTCTAGCTTCGTTATACAGACTAACTGAACAAGCTAAAGATCTGTAGTAAAGATGAACGTCAGACTCTTGAGGACTCTGAGTTTATTACAACTATGTTCTCTTGAAATAAAAATGCCTAATGGCATGGGTCTCTAAGCTTAGAAAAAATATTTAAAGGGTGTATTGGAAAAAGGAAAGGAAAATGGCAGGAGTGTTTTATGGAGTGCCTCACTGGGGAAGAGGAATGTATTTTGTGGCCCTGACTATACTCTCTTTCTCCTCTTTTAGGGAGAGGAGCCTGGCTTGTTGTGTGGGCTCTTGCCCCCTCTTCATTTTCTGTTGCCATTATATTTGTCTGTATTTATCAGATTATGAATAATATAAACTATTGCAGGATTTGTTTCTCTGTACTGCTCTTCACTTAGTAATATGAATCTTTATTGCACTTAACAACGTATATTTTTGTTTTCTCCATTATTCCAGTGTGAATCTGAAATAACTCCTTAGTATCCAAAGGAATTATTACAGATTTGCACAGGTGTAACGGAAAGCAGTGAGTGTTTTATCCCAGTAATGTCACCTGCTGTTAAGGGTTACTGTAAAAACTCTGGGTCTCCTTCAGTAAGGATTAAAATGTAATGAAACACAGTTCATTTGGACTCTGAACTGCTGTAAGTACTAGATAAATGGTAGTAATGGGGTACATCAAATGGAACAACAGTGAAAGCCACTTTGATATAAAGTAAATTCTAATAATTATTTTCTGGGGATGGAAGAAGGTAACAGATGAAGATTAGACTTCATGTTAACGCACACACATCTGTTATTTGTCTAACATTCTAAGTTTCAAGCCAAATTCTGCCTATCTGTGTAACCTTGTTGATTTCAGCAAGGTTGCACTGATGTAACTGAAGATAGTAGCTTCTTAGTTTTATATATGCTACAATTTAAGAAAAGCTAAATCTACTTTGGAAGAAATAAAATTTGTTTGTTTGGCCACAGATTTCACTCTGCCTTTGTTTGAAACCAAACAGCAGTGTGATGAGGAGTTTACCCCACACATGCTGTGAAAGTATTAATATGGATCTGAGAGGCCAATTAATCTGCCTGTTGCACCTGGAATGTGGGCCTAGCCTAATTAGAAACAAAGTCCAGCTAGGGGAAATCAGGGCTTGTTTCCCTAAAGAGCTGGGTGAGCCCAGTTGGGAGGAGGAAAGTTGGAGGTGAGGGAGTTCACTTTCACTCTCTCTGAGGAACTGCCTGGAAGTCTGAGGAAGAAAAAGGGGAGAAGACCAGACAGGTTTCTCTAGGGGCTAGCTGGAAGCCCAGTTGGAGCCTCCCTGAATACATGACTATGGGGAGAAGTGGGCCAGCCCCTGAATGATGTGGTGGATTGAGGGACAGAAGAACAGTCTAAAGCAACAGAGGCATGCCTGCAATGAGGTGGCTGGCTGCTGAGTCCAGCCAGGCTGACGGTTTAGATTTTGTATATATTACTTGAGTACTTTGATAAAGGACTCTTGGACCCAGAAGGGGTAGAACTCTGTAAAGTAGTCTGGCTGGAGGGACAGGGCACTCCTATGGCTGGAGTAGGCCAAAGGACAGTCTGGCAGGGAGGGGGAAAATTGAGGCAGAGCTGCCACAACACCACATCTGGTCATAATGCGGTGGGTTGGGGTAGCAACTTGCTGCAGACAGTTATGAAGTGAGGGAGACTGACTGTAGAATTTCAGTGAGTCCTCTGCCACAGCTGAGAAGGTAGTGGCATCCCTGCTCCTCTCTGTAGACTGGGAGTTAGGGGTGACAGCCACCACATCTACAAGGTAGTTTTCTTAGATGATCCGAGGGTTGGATAGGACCTGTTCTTCTTGTGCCTAGACTAGTGGGGACTTTATTTTACATTAGCTCTGTCTACTCCTCACTCTCACACGCCAAACAAATACCCTCCTAATTCCCAGATATAGGGCTTTGAGTGTTCATTATTGTACATATAGCATGCCACCCTTTCTCTTGAATAAATTGACTGGCCATCGAGCAAGTATTCCTGGCTTTGGGAGATTTTTGTGTGTGCTTTGTTTAGAAGTTCACATTGGGCAGAGAAATTATATTTCTAATGTTAAAAAAATAAACTTTCATTATTTGGCCAATCTGTTATTTACTTTTGTCTGTGCCTATCCTGTAGCTTTCTCTTCTTAAATGCAGATGGTGCCCTGAGGGTAGCTCTCTTTGTATTATGGAGTTACTCATTCTTTCAGGGTAGAAGCACTCAGTTTCACTTTGCAGTCCTGCAAAGCATTATTCATAGACAAGCTACAGCACAAAGAGAGATTACTCCATGGTACCATATTCATTCATAGAAAATGGGTGAGAATGTGCTAGAAACTATTTTCCAGTAAGAGGCTGCTAAATACTGTATTTACATTTCCCAGTTTTTTCCCTGTAGCCTGCTTTCCTCTCCCATTAGCCTCCAAATTCCTCCCAGGTGAGCATTCCAGGACTCATCCTTCCCGTTAGTGGGGCAGCCAGTGGCTTTAGGCCCTTAGGATATCTGAATGATCTTGAGGACGAAAGAGGATGTACGTTGACATAAAACAAATCAGTTCAACCATAAAGAACCCATTCTTTCAGTTTCACTCCATGTATTTCTAAAGGTATTTTAAATTACACTGGTCTGGGATTCATTATATATTCCATCCTGGATCATTGCCAAACAAATACCTGTAGAGTATGAGATTAGTGCCATATTTCAGGCTTTCCAACATTAGAAATAATTTTGTCTCCTGCAGGTTTCAGGATATCACACAGAGTTCACTGAGTTCACACACATTTTAATGGCCTTCTAACTGCTAGAACAAGCCTTTATACTATTCGAAAGAAAGAATTCCAACCACATATAGCATCAGTCTTGAATTTTGGTATTTTGTGAAATGTCAGCTAATTTTATAGGGAAATAAGCAAAAGGCTAATTAAGAATTTTATGATTTTAAACAGTGTGTGGCTGCTTATGTGTTGTTTAGTAGAGCCTCTGTTGTGGTAGGCCATGTACAAAAAAAGAACAAAACATGAAATCATGGTACCTGACTTGGAGCACAGGTTTTCAGAATGTTTATTGTGCTCTTGAGGGTTGATTTCAATAAAAGTTTAAGATTTAACTGGCACTGTTGTTCCCTCTGCAGAGACGTCTGAGAGCTTGTTGGAGGCCCCTCATGCTGTTGCTGATAAGCTATTCCTGCAACAGACCCAGGAAATTAAATATAGAAAATATTAGACTTGATGGTGAGAAACCAGCACAGGGTTTTATCCAGTGCAAATGTTTTCCAGGCCTTACACCTTTTCCAGGCATTACATCAGGACTCATGATCAGTGATATTACTTTGATGTAATATTGTTTTTTCATGCAGTATGAAAGTATTAAGCCAACTACAGCTCTATGAAAAATGCCACGTACTGACATAGGCAAACTTCTGAATATATAAGTTCAGATACAATATGGCAAAAGTTTCTTTTGCTTGTCATCTGGTTCATAATATTTAAGAAGCAATCTGCCTTGACATAAATGAGCTTTAATTCTTTTTAACACCTACAGTTGATAAAGAAAAAAGCTTTTAGGATGATCCAAATTATTAAAATAATTGATATGTTCTCATAAATGGAACAGTGTTAAAAGGATCAGTGTCAATCTGTACTTGGGGGGAGGGGATGGGGGAAGAAAAGGAGCCCCTGCCAGAAATCAAGGCCAGATCTCAACTTGTGCATATTGTCAAAGATCTATTAAAGTCAATAGAACTCTGACTGTATATGCCAGCTGAAAGGCTGGCCATGACTACTTAAAAATATCATCCCAGTCCTTACTCAGGCAAACCATCCACTAATTACAATGTATATAGTCAATGGGAGTTTTGCTTGAGTAAGAACTCGCAAGATCAGGTCCATTGTTTGGCTCATCAGCAATGCCATCCTAACATATTGCGTAGATCATACTAACAGACGAACAAGCAAATGGTTAAAAGCCTATTTCTAATTTAGCTATAATCCCATTTTTAAAAAAACAAACAAAAAACCTGGTGTGAAATCCTGGCCCTACTGAAGTCAACAGAACTCTTTGACCTTGAGAGGGCCAGGATTTTACCCCCAATGTTAAGGAACTGCCCATACACCTTTTCTTGAGGTAGATGCGCACAGAGAGGAGACTGACTGTGCATGGATCTTGGAAGGAGTTATCTGGGTCAGTGATTTTTATTTGAATTTACACAAAGCATATTTTGCTTCTATTTTGAGTTACTTTTTTCTCACATAATTTGAAACCTCATTCATCTAGGATGTCAATAATGTGGCTCCCTCTGTTTAACTTGTTTCCCCAACATTTTAGCTTTATCTTTTAGCCCTGGATTAATATTTTAACATTTGCTCCTCTTATGCTTTATTTGCCTCCCGTTGACGCCTTGGAGTTGGAATTAGTCCTTCCTTATCTTCAAATAAGTATTTTGGCACATTTGTAACTTCTTGTGTTATTCTGTTGTTTTTAATGAGAAATTCGAACACCACCATCTTACTTCTGGTTTTGAAATATCTATTTTAGTGTTGAGTTTTGCTATTCAATGTTTTAATCTTCAGATTATATATTTTTTCCCCTGGCAAATTGATCCTTAGAAACACTGAGGTTTACATTTTTGAATGTGGTATAAATGTGATAGTGGAAAGAAATGTTTGATAAAATTATGCATTTTAAAAACAAAATAATGTATATGAACAAGTGGATCAGAACATTTAAGGGACAAGTTATTTTTGAGTTTGATAACCATAATTGTTAAATAACAGTTAACTGGATTGTCTTGGACCTTGAAATTAAAAATCCTCAATTAACCGAACAAATTGAAAGTTAAAGAAGAGATATCAGAATTTTCATCTCAGAACGTTGCTTTGTTTGATTTACAGAACTGTCCATTATGAAGGTGGTGCTGTGTCGATTCATGCTCGTTCCCTTTGGCGACTAGAGACTCTAAGAGTTGCGTAAGTAACAATATGCAAAGAAAAAATATATACAATATAATCAAACTCGATCAGCTGTATGACTTCAGTCAGAGTAGGGTCAGTCTCTAAGTCAATAGCACAGTAGGTAAAAACTAGAAGCAAACATGAAAGCCCTGAGTCAGCAAGGTACTTAAGCGTGTACTTAACTTCAAGCACATGAATAGTTCCACTGTCTTCACTGGGACTACTTGTGCTTAAAGATAGGTGTGTGCTTAAATATGTTGCTGAATCACATCCAGGTTCTATTATTCTGTTTTAATTTCAAATATTTGTGGTTTTATTTTCCCTTTTCCAGTCATTTATGGTTATGGACAGCTCCTGCATGGTGGTCATATTCCAATAAGATTTTATGTTACTATGCTTTGTCCCCATAAATTTCTGATGCATTTTAAAAAGCCCCAAATAAACCGAAAAACTCGCACAAAAGTATGATGTAAAGTTGGATTGCTTGCTGGGAATTGTGTCTTATTTAGCTGTGACTGTAATATACAAGCATGCCTTAAAGTTTCACTCACAAGTATGCAGTTATGATAAAATGTGAAGTGACAAATTATCATTTTAGAGACTAAATGACAATAGCTGTGGGGAAATGTTACACTCTAATGATGTTGTTTAATCTGTGCATGCCATTTAAAGGGATGATGTTAAAAGACGTTGAATATATATATATAAGGGGAATGGAAGGATTTCCCTCCACTCCCCTTTAGTTGCTTTTGGACTAAATTGTGCTTGAGCAACAGCAATGAAACCATGAGAGAATAGCTGCCTTTTTGTTTCCCAAACCTTTCTCTTCACATGTTTCAGGGTAGTATTTTACCATCAGTGTGTACCACCTGGCAAATAATGGAACAGGAACAGTGAGTTATGTTACAATTTGATAGTCTTATGGCATAACTGACAGGCAATGTGTACAGACTGCAGGTTTAGAGAACTTGTCAGAAGAATCTGCAATACAATCAGCCCTGACAGGAGTAATCTTTCTTTACAAGGAACATGACTGTTACTATCAAAATGTTAAACTTTTTTTTTTTTGGGTGGGACATAATTATTGCCAAATTTCAGATGTATTATTTTGTTACCAAAGGTGTCATCTTATAACTTTCCAGCTGGTGCTAAATAGACAAATTTATGTGCATCAGTGATTAGAAGTAAATTTTGAATGTATCGAATTGGACACATGATTTGTGACAAATCAGTCTAATCTGTATATATGTTTGTTATTACTACTATACAACACTATATTGTGCAACATTTACATGTTTAACAAATAAAGACTAAAATCTGTTTCCTGTCCTGAAAATCTCTCTATCAATGACTCAGACCTGCAAACACCACAATAAGTAGTGCTGATTAGTGAGAGTAAACCCAACATTTTACATTCTAGGACTCCAATCTTGTAGAGATTTATGCACATACCTAGCTTTATCCCATAGAAGTCATGAGGCTACTTAGATTAATGTCTTTCCAGGCTTGGACTGTAAGATTTTTTTTTTTGCGGGGGCAAGGCTTGCTCTAGTAAGTAGTATACTACACGGTTTTGTGTGCAGATATGGTCACAGAGTTTCCTGGTACATTAGATGGAGTAACATAATATGCATGTGCATTCTTACACATTCTTGAAACTTTCGGAAAGGTTACTTGAATCTGGGAGTTTTTATGATTCAACATAGAGGAAATATACAACAGCCCAGATTTATGCATGTTTCCACTAATATAAACCCTGGCACAGGCACCTGGATATTGAAAGTCCAGTAGGGAGGGAGGTTGTGACAACAGAAAGTGGACTCAGTATTTCCTCTGAGAAGAGAATAGGAGAGGAAGGCTTGGACAGAGCAAAAAGATAGGGTTTAGGCAAAGAATTATCAGAGAGGGAAGGATAGCACGGGCTATGACTAGAAAAGGAAAGATCAAGTGGTGGATGGAAATGAGAGAAAGGCCTAAGTAATTGCAAGGAAAATACATTGGAATTGGAATAGCTTAGTGTTCCTTTTATGGAACCTTGAGCTCTTGAAAGATCTTGTTTTATGCTATTCATCTTGTCTTTAGAAGAATATTTCTTAATAAGATTGGTTCTAAGACTATTATTGCTATTGGTTCATAAATCAACACCCCCTCTTTTTTACAATTGTGCAAGCCCTGGCACCAACCCATCACTGTTCCCCAGTCCTACTTCCTTTTCCCAATTTCTCTTTTTTCTTAAAATCACTGTCTTTCCTCCTCTCCACCCACTACAACCTGGAACTTGTGCTCTGGCTGTCCAGCTTCCTCCCCCAGACTATGCTGATGGGATTTTCCATATAATTTTTTCCATACAATTTCCATTCTTGTTTTTGAATTCTCTTCACTAGCACAGAACCCCCTGAAGCATTGCACAGCTTTGATTCCGTAGCCAGTCTCAATGTAAATTCACACCAGACTGTTAGGAATCTTTTGTACAGAGCAGCTGGTGGTAGCGTTTATCATTGTTTTGCCCACAGTAGTCTGTGGGCTTGAGTCTGTTATGCTAAAGCGCTTTTATGCCATTCTGGCTGTGCAGAGGGGGCCTTTAAGTGGTCAGAAACAGCCTGCTCAGAATATTCACTACCCAGAAAGCTTCCTCAGTGGTTAGAGCTAGTGTAAGGGCAGTGCACGCTCTGCTGCCATCTCTCAAGGGCAAATTGGAAGTGTGGTTGGAGTGTATTACACTTCAGCTATTCTCTTCTTCCTATAGTCCATAATGGTCATGTGAAGCAGAGTGTAAGTTAGAGCAGCCCTAGTCTGCTCTAAGGTAGGCTCCTGCATGGCTCCATAATGAGGAACGCAGAGATATTCAGCCACTTTTGCCTTCCCTGGCCCAAGTGCTGCAACTCAGTGATCACTGAGACTCAGGCCCTGGGTCTTTATATGGTTGAATGATGGAATCTTCATGCCAGCTGCAGTAGTATGTATTGGATGTGTTTTGGTAGTGGGTGCTCACCTTGCCATATAAAAGACTTAATGGGGGGGAGTGCATTTATGGGATATAAATCCTCCTTCCCTCCCCACCTAAAAATCTCACAGCAGAGTTCAACATTTTTACTGTCATTTAAAAAAAAAAAAAGAGTAGGCGACAGAAATAAACCCTGTCTCTCTAGTGTGTTTTAAAACAATCAAGAACCTCCCCAATTCTTTAAGAAAATGGAAGCCAAGAGGTTACTTATATTGTGAAAATGGCTGCCAAATGTGTTTTCAGGATTTACACAGACAGTATACCTAGTACTTATGAAGAGGTGCTTAAACAAATGGATATTTTTATTGCACAGATAATAGTCTAAATCTGTTACACTAGTCTACAGTGATAATGACGTATGTGATGTGCCTTGAATAGGACCTAGGCTAGTGTACAGATGCATATGAAACACATACAGGGAAAAACTTTTAATTTGTTTTGGAATTTAATTTGTTTTGTAATGTGCTTGGGCTCATTCTAAAAGTACATACGAATTTATATAAAAACAAAAAGGGGCAATGCAAGCTTCTGATATGTGGGATAATTTAGATTTAGTTGAAATAGAATATCTGTAGGTTCACCAATACCAGTCAGTGATATTTGACCCATAAATGATGAGTTTGAGCTGTTTCAAACAAAATGGAATATTCTTTATTTGTATTGTGATAGTACCTAGGAGCCCCAGTCATGGACCAGGACCCCATTGTGCTAGGCACTGTACAAACACAGAACAAAAGAATGGTCCCTTCCCTCCCAAGTGTCCACTCTAAGTAAAGTTTGAGAGCTCCTATGAGAGAAAGCTGATGGAGGAGTACCTCGACACATTTGGAGTACAGCCAGGAGATTAGTACAGGAGGCTCAGTCTGAAGCAGGGAGTTGGAACCCTGCTCTTTCTGTGCCTCAATTTGAAGTCCACTGTGAGTGGAACTCCAGGGTGGGAGCATCCCTTCTTCTTTCCCTTTATCTCCTGCAGAATGTGAAGCATATGGGCAGGCTCTTGTTGATTGGTTTTATAATCATTTTGTGAGCACTGTATCTGAGGGCACAGACAGCTGAGCAGAGGAGTGATCTGGGAAGCTCGGTGAACTTAGCTACAAGTGGATAAAATGTTGAAGTGAGGACCTGGTTGGTCTTGGCTCATACTTTGGAGCTGAGATCTCCTCTCCTGGATGCAACAGGGTATCTGTAAAATCCTCTAGTTACTGAAATCCATCTGTGAATTATTTCTGTTTTTCTGTCAGTAAGCAGCCATTTCTGCAACATCTGAATTTTATTTTGTAACGAAAGGGGACTAAACTTCCTCTCAAATATCCCACTGACAGCTTCCTTTCATTATACCTGAGAGGACTTCTCTTGAGCTATGGCAGAGTGGCACAGGGGAGAGGCACTGCATATGCAGGTTTCAAGCCATTCGGATGGTATTTCCTTTTGTCAGTGCAGAAAATACAGCTCAGAGAAGTAATCTTTTCCACCAGTGAAAAGATTAAAAAAAAAAAAAAAAGAACCTGTTAAACTGTACTGATGGTGTTCTTGATTCTAGTCAAAGCCTCCTGTCTCCACTTCTTTGGGACTGGAAAAAGTCATAATTCATTTACCTTTTTCTTTTGTCATAATACTTTTTATTAACAGGTTAATTTAAACATGAGTTTATTGTACCTCTTGGAGTGATACCGCGTCAGATAGCCAAAAACGTTGTAGCTTTTTCTGTTAATACTGTACTATGACGGGTGGACTTTGACATTCTGTGCCAATGATTTTGCAACTAATCTGAATAATAATGAATCTTTAAATATGTTTGTTTGGTCTAGAACATTAAATTTTAAACATTTTGTTTAAGAATCCTTCTTTGAACTTGCTTTATTAGGTGGAGTGGAAGCCACATTAGATGGGGACAGCTATTCAGACTAAGACATATAACAACAGGGAAATATTTAAGCCTCATGGATGACAAGAGTCTTCTTCTTACGGACAAAGAGAAAGCTGACGTGAAATCTACAGCATTTTGTTTTCGGTCTTCCAAGGTACAAAACAAATGCAGCATTAATGTGCCTGGCAATGTTTGATTTCTCTTTTAATGAGCATTCAAATACATTTAGGGAAAAAATAGAGAAATGAATGAAGTGAAGGTGCTACCAAACATTCAATTGCGTTTTTATCCCTGTGGGCCTCTTCTATTATCTGCTTCTGTATTCAAGCTTTCAGTTAGCCCAGACTCAATGCTGCACCTTAGGCTTTCTATGAACTGAATTACGTTTGTCCGTTCCTTGTGGCATTTATACATCTTCCACTATATGACTTAGCTGAATCCTTCCTATTTTTCTACCTTTTCACTATAAATAAGGAAATTCAGAATAGTAGAATTAATTCCAAAAAGCTATATTACATTATTTCCCTTGGGTAGTGCTGCTTGGTGGTTTTGTTACTCTGCTTACCCACTTATGAAAAATCTCCAGGTGTCTCTAACAATTTTTCTGGGAACTTCCGTAGTTCTTTCACTGTTTTTACTTCGTTTGGTGAGATGAGAGGCAGTTACATGATTGTTTCTTTTAAATTAAATGAAGAAATCCGTTTTATTGAATTAAACGATTTATCTGTGAATCTAATCTACATTTAGGTTAGCTGAAATTATGTATTCAGCATTTTCGTTTAAAATTTTTTGTAGGTACTTCAAATTAGGGAAGTGTACATTTTTTGTGTAGTGAGTGAACAGTTTAAAATGTGCTATGATTCAATTTGTGTTTGCAGTTGCAGCCTAATATCAGTGAAAATTTTCGTTTTCCAAAATTAGTACTTTTGTTAGTTTATCCTTTACAATGTTTGCTTTTTGTTACAAATTTTAACAATTGTATTAACATTTCTGTGGGAATTTTCCTTAGACATTGTATAGTTTCTTCCATTGTACACTAAGGGTCATAAACAATAATTAGGCACCTGAAATTGGGTATATATTTTTTGTGTAATCTGGCGTTGGGGATTTTTGGTGGCTAGATCTGGTGGCTATAGTTTGGGTGCTCAGACAATGGCTTTCTCTCTCCCAATTAGAAAAACATAGTGAAAAAGAGCACTGTGACAGTAGAATCCTCAGACATGGCAGGAAAAACAGTGAAATCCTGTTTATACAGAATTCTTAGGGGAATGCTCTAAAGCTTCAGATACATGATGATGATTTGGGTGGAGGGGAAGCTAGCTTGTGGGCTTTGAAAAAGTTACACTCTGGTTTGAGATCCTCCTCTCTGCTCTTGCCCCTTTTTGCCACTCTAGACATTTTACCCAGAGAAAGGGGTCCTGTGGTCTGATCCTGTATTCCTTACACGGGCAGAAATTCCATTTAATTTAGTAGAAGATGCACGTGTGTGAAGGCTTCAGCCTAGGAAATGCTTCACGTGTCTTGATTCGTTAAAGTACTCTGCTTGTTGAGGCATTTTAATCTTTGAGTTTCTAAGAATTACAACATCCAATTTCTTGAGATCTACTTCCTTTATTTTTAATCCAAGTGTTCAGTAAGCTTGCATCAGTTGTTATGAATGCAGTGTTTAAAGTAGTGGTAGTTAGTAGTGGTTTTTAAGCTATTATTTGAGAGGCAACCCAACTTCTAGAATCTTTGGAGGCCTCAGGCCAAAAGTTTTGATAATCTGTTATGTTAAAGAGGAGCATTTATCATTATTACCGTTACTGAAGGGCAAGACTGTGGCCCATCTTATGTGCTGGCTGAAGAGACCAGTGGGGACTTAACATGTTCTCTTGTGCTTGTGTTGACTATTACTGCTTTCTGGCAGCAGGGGGAAATTGGCTCCTCATATTTTACATCCCTCCCACTTCATGTAGGTGTGGGGGAAGGAGTCGTAACTAGGAAAAATCTGCAATCTGTCTCTCTAATTATAGTGGCACACTAGGGAGGATATGCTGCAGCTGGTATAGACCTGGCACAATTTACTCCTTCACAGGAGCAGTAGGGTGAACACAAGGCAATTGTGACTCCCCTAGTCAGTCTCCTTCTGGGGCTGCTTCAGGGACAGCCCAACAACCTGCTGGAAAAGTCACATTGGGAGATGACCTCTGACTTGATGTTAATTTTGTGATCATCAAAATCCATTTTAACTATAGACTGTGGAAGAGCTTGGGGAAAGACCATAGGATGTCTGCACTTAATTGCTGAAAATGAATTCATTACACTTAGTTTGCAACTCAGAACTTGTTAAATTAGTGTCATGTTTTGCTGTGAAATAGAGTTGTCAGGCCTCAGATTTAGCAGTGGGGGAAAAATTAACCCAAAGTTTACAGATATCTTGCTCGATGGTATCAAACTTAAGTGTGGTCAAATCATAGCTATCCTAGAATGAGTTCTTTAGAGGAGGGAAGTCTGGAGTCTCTTTCCCCTGAATTGGAGAAAGCAGCTGAAATTTTGCTCTGTGCTCATGAGCCTGTAATACAAGTCAGCTCAGAAGGAATGTATCTGAGTAGGGCATGGCCTTGACTACCTCTACAGTGACGAACATCAGCAGGAGGAATATGTCAAGAGAGCCAACTACATTTTTCCTACGGGGGCAGCAAGTCCTGTTCACCCTCATTCCAGTGCTTCTTTGGTTATAATGCCTCCTTCCACGACGTCAGAGGTACACACCAGCACCTCTGCAGGCAATAACTAACTGCAGGTGCAATTGAGAAAGCACTGTTATGGCTTGTGTCATGAATTGAACACAGTATGTATTGTGGGGCTATTTACAGTTTAGATATCAGGATCCGGTTTTGACTGGCAGAAGGAACTGAAAAAAAAATCAGAATATTCTCTCGTATTAATGTTCTTTAAACATCTTTGCAAAATAAAGAAATGTGATGCCCAAAACTTCATCACACATTAAATAGTTAGAATTTTAATTTGAAAATTGATATTGTGAGCAACAAACAGCATTTTCACGTGGGAAGGATTATTTTCTGAAAGTCAGGTTTTTGACCAATTATATATTTCAGTAAGAATGATCATTGTTAAATAAAACAGAACTAAAATGCATTCGGTTTTTAAGATAGTTTATTTCTTCTTTTAAATTTACAACCATTTCTCCTCCTCCTACACCCGGGCCACCAATATATGTGAGAAACTTCCAAACCACTTAGTTCTGATCCATATGTAAAGTTCACAGGCATTCAGATCAGTGGATTTGTTTTATGCCCATTTCTGTTATATACTGAATCTAAATTTTTGTCAGTTCCCTCTCTTTCTTTCTTTAATATTTCTCACAAACAATTGTTTGAGGTCAGTAATTCAAACCAATACTGATGCAGAATTCAGTATTCGTCAACTCTTTTATATGTAGCTGTTTATGGGCTGCTGAATGCCATAACTGCATCCTTTAATGTAGCTTGGGAATACACAACTATACTCTACTAACAGAGGATTACAGATTCAAGATTAATGGGAATTTCTCCTATTTCTTGTGTGAGGTTGGTCAATATAGTAGCTTTTTCACCAGCTTGTGGAAGCTGTGGAATGGACATAGTCAAAGGGATAATCTCAAGTTGTCAGAGAGGGCACATTTTAAATAGTTTGTCCTGAGGTTTTAAAAATTCCTTTAAATAAATAAAGAATAAGTTTGGGCCTTTTTCTGCTCACTGTTGTGTTTTATAAGGATCATTGGAGGGTCCTGGGAGCAACATACCTAGGGCCACCCCTCCTTACATTTGTGTGCACATGCTGGCCTGAAGTGTGTTCAATTTCAGCTTTGCCGCTGTCACTGGTAAATGCTCTTGCAGAGCCTGGGGAGGACCATTCATGTGAGAGTTCTACATGAGGGTAGGACACCTGACCAGTGACAAATCAGGGAAGCTAACTATATACATAGTCACAAGGCAAACAAACTGGGGAAAAAAAGAGATTTTCTATTTGAGTTGTAGTAATCTTTAGTGGTGCTTGCTATAATAGCAAGAACAAATTTTTCAGCTGGAAATTTGATTTAGAAGTTGACTGGGGCTTTATAAGGGTTTTTCCCCCCAATCACAGCTCAAAAGAGAAATTAAAACTTCTATCCACTAGAGTGCAAACTGAAGATGTAGCTAAAGAATGCTGTAATTGAAAATCTGCCATGGGAGAGAATGGGGAAATATACCATCTGTCTATATCTAGATGCTGGAGGAGATGTTCTTCTGGCTGCTGTTTTAAATTCCCCAGCTCTTTAAGGAGTCAGGTGCTTGTTTCTAAACAGACTTGATAAATCAGAAGGAGTTCCGTGGTTTCTTAATTAAATTGCTGGGTTGTTGGCTGTAGCTACACAGCTTCTTACATCCAAGGACTGGGTCTTAAACTCTGTCTTGTCAAATGCCATGTCCAAATGTGTAAGTGCCCCCATCAAAATGTGTAAAACAATGATCAACCTATAGTAATGAACTGAACTATTGAGTAAGGACTCGGGTATTAATGTAAAACATAAGTTTAATATAATTTTTTTCTCTTGAAATAATTTAAGCAAACAATTCTAATTGTCAATAAGGCTGATAGAATGTAGAGGTTATTGAACAGTCTCATATGCCCTGTTTCTGCAAACTGTTCCATGTGGATGTCCTTTTGGCTTCTGGGAGCAGAGTCTGCCAGAGTGGAACTATTTGCAGGATTGCAGCCCTAAGTAAGTAAGCAAAACTGCCATAAAAATATGCCTTTTGCAGTAGTTTAAATGTGTGGGGTTTGTATATTGTAAATAAGACTTTAGCATTTTCTTTTTGTGTAGTGGAAAAATATCATTACATAATAAATATTCAGCTTTATCATGTTTCTTCTTTCTATACAAAAGTCTCTTCTTTTCTCCCACTAACTTTTAAACAACACCCCCTGATTTTTGAGGGGGCTGAAATATGTCAATTTTAATAAAATGCTGCATTATGATACACTTGTGAGTATTACGCATCCAGTCTGACTCTTTTTAAAAGAGCTCAGGAAATCCATTAAAATGTCACTTGAAAACACAAGTCATACTGTAGCTTTCTATTCATTGACATCTGATAGAATGTCAACGTCAAAGGAATGCCACAAAAA